ATTCAAATAACAAGCCGGCAATTGCTGTTTCTCTATGTCCATTTATTCGGTTTGGAGTTGTTTTCCGGTCTCTGAAGAGCTTCTTCTTCTTTCTTTTTTTCAGTTTTAATACAGTTCAGGCCAGATTTTTCACTGGAGGTTTCACATTTGAACGGTGCTGGCGCGTTGCCCGCAAATTAGCGCTGTTCGAGATCAGCAGTATCAGTTTACTGGCAAAATCGAAGCCAGAAGATTGTCTTACAGATTATTGATCCCACTCTAACTTGACAAGCTGACAGCATTCGGTGTGAAATTAACAAAAATAAAAAAAAAAAAAAATGAAAGCAGAAGTATCAAAACAAAGAGTAATAATTCTGATATTTACGGCTTAGTTTCATTACATTTACAAAATGATAACGTATCAGAAATCTAAATATATCTATCATCTGTCAACACACACACACACACACACACACACACACACACACACACATACACATACACCCATATATATATATACACACAGTGTGCGGTTGGTATTTGAGGATAGATTTTATGGATTAGTAAAAAAAAAAAAAACTTGCTGAACAAATGAATATAATTATATTTGATTACAAACAAGTAAACATGAAATTTAGCTAACTATTATTGAATTCCATTCAATAGAACCACCACTACGATCAATAACTGTCTCTACACGAGGTCGAAATCGGCTACAAGCTTTGATTAATTGGTCCTTATTCATGTCAGACATTACTCGAACTATTGCAGCTTTAAGAGAGTCTTTGGTGTTATGAGGCTGTTTATTAACCCCCTTCTCAACAACGCTTTACACATAATAGTCTAGTGGATTGAGATCTGGAGAGTTAGGAGGCCAAATGTTGGGTGTGATGTGGCCGTAAAAATGGTCAGCCATCCATTCTTGTGTTCGTAGAGCCTTGTGGTATGGAGCCGAGTCTTGCTGGAATATGTAAGGTCTGCCGTAGCATATGTTGTCAATCTAAGGATTGACAACTGTTTCTAGAACCTCAATGTAAACAGCAGCATTTACTCTAAGACCTTGTGGGAAAAATGTGTGGTGGCATAACATGTCCTTCATTGTTCACAACACCCAATACCATAACACTTGAAGGAAATTTTGTGCGTATCACTCTTGGCACCTCAGAAGGGTCTGAACAAAGTCATCTGTCATTTCTTCTGTTAAGTTTTTGAGAATATTTTTTCTAATCTAAGAAAAAATATGTTGTCACACCAGATTCTGAAGGAGTTTTAAGTTTGTTTAAAAGTCTTTTGGATGTGTTTAAACTGTTTTCTTTTGTTTTTTCAGACATAAATTGACCTCTCTTCATCACGTAGGACTTGTATCGAATGTCTTCATGAACACTCCTTCTGATTGTTTTGTCAGATACATGCAGCATTTTGGCAATTGACTTCATTGATTGACCTCGGTTTTCATCAATTGTCTGTTTGACTTCCTGAATAAATTCGAATGTTCTCACTTCATCAGAACGTGCAGAATGTCTTTTACGTTTTGATACAGACATTGGGGAACTGTCAGCGTCTTCTGACACTTTTCCTATCTTGTGGACAAACGATCTTGTAACTTTGAGGAAACGTGCAATATGCAAATCGTTATGATCAGACTTTAATGCCACAATCACAGTATGCCTTTTCATTTCATTTGTTATCATAGGGTTTGCCATTCTTGATTTCTGGAAAATAAAAGCATTAGAAGTTGTTGGGAAGCAGTATTAATCTTAAATTTGTATGTTTTCAAATACCAGCCGCACCCTGTATATATATATATATATATATATATATATATATATATATATATATATATATATTGTCATCTCCAAACAGACTGTTTCGCTGTATCACAGCGCATCAGCATGACTAGACATCCGGTTGCCTCTAGTTAGGATCGAAATCAGACTGAATTGGCGTCAGTCGGGTATTCTACCACTAAGCCGTTGGCAGGGATGAAGGTAGATTTAAGCGTATTTATTTTTAAATAAACACAAAGTGACTGAGAGAACTCGGAGATATATATATATATATAATATAAACTCACATATACAAGTTAATATGCACATACTTATTCATCTATACTCTTGTGCGTGCACCGTTTTATGAAAATAAATTCTATACCAATAAAATGACATACAAAAAGGAGAGTATCTTTATTTTTATTCAAATATTGATCGAATTTCAGCGCCACAGAAAGGAGTATTTTGTCATACATTATCACTAACCTCACTGAATATTGTCCTTATTCTATTTTAAATTCCTACCTTGGAAATAGCTTCATGGAGCTAAACATGAGAGAAACATTTGAATAATAACCCAATGTTTAAAAAAACATCATTACTAATAATAATTGGTGTAATAATAATAAATTAGAATCATTATTTCATTACTCGTTTAAATTATTCAGTGCCGTTCTAATAACATCCAATTAAACAGATTATTTCTTCTTATTTAGATAATTCTATAATTATTTTGGCTTATTCTGTCTAACCCGGGATAATATGAAATATTAGATGGCGACTATGCTTGTTATTACGAATGCTGATGTTTTTCTAACTTACAACTGAATTTTGTCAAGGCGGACATGCATTCGTCTTATCTGGTTTTCGCATTCGCTCGTCCGCACGTTGAGGGTGCTTTTCTATCCATTCAACCATTGACAGACCGGACGGCGATCCGCCAAACTCGGGAATTAACTTTAAATCGAATCTGGGATCTGTCACCGGCCTTCAATCGCCGGAATAGCGATTTATTTTGGGAAAAAGAATAAAAAGCATCTTTGACGCTGGAAAATAGAGTAACATTGTAATATTCAGTCAGTTAGTTATGTGCCATGCCTGATATACGCTTAGGCGATCATATATCTTTCGATACATGACAGAAGAGTCAGATTTGTTTCCCGCAGTTTCCATCCAAGCCCATAAAACCCGGCCTCTCTTGCTATTTAGCCATAGCTGGAAGGAGAAGTGGATTCGTATCTTTCCAAAGGGTATTAGCACGTAAGTGAATGTAATGGAATCGACTGGAATTCGAATGGCTCTTCGATTCCTCAATCCGCTATCCGTACCTCCTCTTTGTGATATTAAAGTTATCTTATGGTCTCCAAAGCTTACAGACTATAAAATACGTCTTATCCTTACAGCTGAAAATGAAGATGCCGTTCATCTCTACAAGATATATCTCCCAGTGTCAGACCCACGATGACTATTGGCTAATACCTGCCTAGTATCGTTCACAGATAAATAGTCAGCGCCACCTAGTCTATGTAGAAAGTCTTCTCTCAACAGCCCGTTGTGGAAGGGGACGCAACTCGTGGTGTTTATAGCATCTCATATAACCAACTCAGAGTTTTTTATTGGACTGACTCGATTCTCTGTTTCAACACATCATAATTGATTCTCTGCAAGACGAGTTTAGGAATAAACATTGCTTAAATATTGTAATTTAAAAAAAATGAATTAAGTATAAATAACACATATGAAAGATTTCGTAATATATATTTGGAAATAATGTTATACAAACTTAACATTAGCGCAACTTTTGTACACGCTAACTTTTAGTAATATATAAGAAAGACTGTTACATGTACTGTCTAGGCTGTTTTGTCCTATTGATTATATTTGGAACATACAGCCAATATTTCGTCTGGCGCGAATTTATAAAAGATAATAAGAATTAAAAGACATATATACACAAGAGTGTGGATCAATAAGTACGCAATCTCGAATGCGGTTATTGGTTTGAATCTCTGATTTACTTTAACCTTTTCTGACATTCTAATGTTTGATCATTGTAATACTAGGCAGCTACTTTTATCAAATCATTCCAGTTGATATCAGTGAGAAAGGTTAGAAAGAGAAATCACAATGAGTTACTATCCTGGCCCTTTGCTGTAAATTCTGCAAAATGAAGTTGGAGTTGTTCATTCGATAGTCTTTCTGAAAAGCATTCAAATCTGTTGCCACTCACCTTTTTGACCAACTTTGAATTATATATATATAATTATACAGGGATATAATTATGATCTCAGCCAAAATTAAGCGATGACTCTCATCATTAGTTTCAGGAGATGACACGTATGAAGGCCTTTCTGGTTATACTCCGTCTTAGAAATTGGAACACCAGTTTTAACTGCTCAATATGAAGAACACATAACACCCAATATTGACATCGTGAATTCAGGGATTTCCTTTATAAATGTCTGCAGGAAGAGAAAATTCATGATAGAATTAAACACATGAAAATTAAACTTCTGTTGACATATTTCAGTCACTGAATTGAAAGAAATTTAGGAATAAAACGCTAGGATCCTGAAAATTGATACCTACATTATAAAAATCACTTTTTCGAGTTACAGTAAAAAAAAAAAAAAGTTCAGTAAATTTATCCCACACTGAAATACACGTTATCGTGGACTAATACACTTTAATATATACAATTTTTAAGATACAGATTACAACTACATGACATAATGTTCTACTTTATTACGTAGACGTTGTATGTTATGCCAAAGCTGCCATTTCAGTGAGTTGATTTTGGTATACCACTGAACGTCACCGTCCTTTAAATATTGCTCTCCGGATGTATTTTATCTAAAATGTTTAGCAATTATCCGAAATAACCAGTCAGCAAATTGAAATCGCCAAATTCAATCCTTCTCTAAGGATTCTTATTAAATAGAAATAAAAACAAATGTGCGTGTTTCTCTACCATGATACCTGCTTGAACAGGAAGTGTTCATCACGCTGAAACTTATCGTACGATGCGTCTTTATCTAAAGGTTATGCATGGACAGGATACGTGCTTGAGTTTTATTACGTCATCAAAAACTCGTGGGAGACGCGATGACTTAAAGTTAATGACCGGATCCTTAATCTTAATGTTTCCATTTTCTACTTTATTTTTTTTTTAGATATAGCGAAAAAAATCATATGGTAGCTTTCAATATCGCAGGGTGTTGAAAAGCCAGGCTCTACTGGTGGCGCTAACAGCTAAACACCAGCGTCACAGATATAGCAAAGTACTTGAATGGGTCTAGGTCTTTTTTCTTGAAAGTGAGGTGTGAGAAAGTAGCATTTGACGGGATGTGTCTTCCGTGACCAAGAGAAAGACAGTATCATAAGGATTTTCAGATGCATCTCGTATGCATAACAAATGATGACACCCAGGTAGTAAATAAAAATTTCTGCCGAATGAGTCAAGAAGGCAGAGTGCACTGTTAGATCAAGGGGCTAGCTAAGAAAGATGCAGTAACATCACAATCCCTGGATGCTCCAGATATTCTTTGTTGAGAATTACTTCGACTAAGAATAGACAGTGAACAGAAAATCTACAGTTACATATGAAAATTTACACCATCTTTCGTGAGACAGTGGTTCGTAATCTTCAAGGAGCAGGTCATATGAACCAATTCTTAGCATATTGTTACGTAAATGTGACCGCTATCAAAGATGTTCTAGAGAAACTAATAAGGCCATGGATCCAGTCGACATCCGTATGTACACTATTATTCGGAGACTGATGACACAATATCACTGGCTAATCTGTAGACACTATTAAAACTATGGAACGATGCGGGATGCCTGTAGACATTATTCTTAAAGGTTTGTTGAATCAACATCGCTACATACGGTGATGTTCTGGAAACACAAATACGGCCATGGATCGAGTCAGTATCCCTGTGGACACTATTGTTCTCAGGTGATTGACTCAATATCATCGCTTGCAGAGTTGTTCTTGAAGCACTAATAAAGCTATGGGTCGTGGCATTATCCCTGTGGACACTAATCTTTGCAGTTTAAGCTCGTAAAGAGATGTTTTCGAGACACTCCGTGTGGGCATTATTCCTCATCCAATTCCTCAGACCTATTCATCATTCAATTCATCAGACCTATAAATTTGTAGGTCTGATGAATTGATCATAATTATGATTTCAATGTAATAAATTATAACTATGGAATATTAGTGTTTTTTTTATTATATATATATATATATATATATATATATATATATATATATATATATATATATATATATATATCGAATTAAAAAGTAAATCCTCATTTAATTTTAAGAAGGGTTCGAAATCAAGAAATTCATGTAGCCTTTTCTGAAATGACTTCAAGGCAAATCCTCATCCAGTCCTTCGGAATGCGTTGAAAATAAAAGAGTTATATATATTTGGATCTGTGTTTAAAATAGAATCTAGACCCTAGTCGCCTAAGAAAGTGGTACAATGACTAATTATTTAAGTAGACACAAAAATACATACATTTCTTTCTTACGTTTTTCACCTGATTAAGACTGGAAAGACGAAAATGCAGTTTAAAGTGTTTAACCTTTTTTATTATATATATATATATATATATATATATATATATATATATATATATATATATATATATATATATATATATAATATTAGTGGTAAATATACATACATATGCAAAATACATAAATACCCATACATGTATTTTTTTTAATAAAATTCCAAGAGGAAGAATCTATATATATATATATATATATATATATATATATATATATATATATATATATATATATATAATAAATATATATATATAATATTAATAAATGCGAATGACACTGTGTCACACTTTTTCGACATAGACCAACATATCATGTATCTTTGGGACCAGGCCAACTCAATAATCAAATTAAAAACATTCCAGGTTAGATCCTGACTTTCAGTCATGGAATTTTGGATTCTGAAGATTTTCATTACTGCGGATTATTTCGGATTCCGCAATTTTGTATTCTGCTGATGAAACCAATTAAGGGAAAACAACTGTCTAACTTTCAATAGGTCACGTTCAAATGAAAAATTTATTGTTCATATATGTCAGTGTTTCAAACTATAATTGTCCGTGTTTTCAAATTTGCTCCTAGAATATGTAGTACATTTTCGAATCAGACCGATTCCATGAGCAACGTAAAAACTCCCGGACCGAATCCGGACTCACAGTTCCAAAAGTTTGGATTCCCAAGTTTTCATTACTGCGATTGTTTTCGGCGATTAATGTTTACGTGACGTTTTGCAACTAAATTGGGAATAGTCGAAATTACTTGCGAAATCCAGCGAAAGTCGCCCATCAAATGAAAAAAAAATTGTGCAGAAAGTAAGAACATACGTACATCAAACTGTCTTTAAATTAAGCGGTGACAGAAGAATTATCGTAGGACTTTTAAAAGATAAGCTTAAACATTAATGCAATGCCTAAATACAGACATCAATTTTGATTTGTTTTGTAACGTAACTATCGCATCTTCTCCTCCCTATGTATTTTGATAAAGACCAAATCAAGTCATTAAATAAACGCAAGAGCTAGCTTAATTGCCGCCCCCTATATATATATATATATATATATATATATATATATATATATATATATATATATAAATATATAAGTATATTATTTGGATAAATTTAAACTTAAATTTAGTTGACATATTTATTACCGATTTCTTCCATGATGTGTTAAGTTTTGCTTTTTTTATGTATATTATATTGCCCTGTATTTAAATAAGTATATGTAAATGAAAAGAACTATTAAGACGATAAAAGATGAAAGAAATCATTTTGGATATATATATATATATATATATATATATATATATATATATATATATATATATATATATATATATATATATATTGGCAAGGTCCACACGCACTCATATATATAATACGTGATACAGCGGAACAATCTGTCTGTGGATGCCAATATATATATATATATATATATATATGTGTGTGTGTGTGTGTGTGTGTGTGTGTGTGTGTACTTATGATCTAAAAATTTTGGCTGGTTTTTGATAACCTGCAAACCGTTCATAATGCGTAGAAAACTGATCAATTAATCCATACTGTCATCAGACAGTCTTCAACAGCGTCAGTATTATCAATATTGCTTGAAGTGGGTGTGAAGTATTCGCCTGCCCCAATGTAATGTTTGCCATCAATAAGTCCCGCTGATATATTTCCGGTTGGTTCTGTCCCAAAATCGGTTTTTATAATTTATTTTGTCTGCAATCCAACTATCAATGTATGATTTTTCATCATCTAAGTCGTGTTCTTTTGCTGTTTGGTCGAAAGAGTTTTTCCCTGTGTCCAAATATCTTTTTCTCATCAATGTCACCTCCAGGTCCGAATAAATCGTATCCTGGAAATGCATATTCAGTTTGATTCGGTTTTATATGTATTAAAGATTCTCATTTAATGTATGAAACAGAGCCGTAGTTTTTCTATTCGTTCTTGACCGGTGGCATCTTTATCAAAAAATGATAGTAAATTTGTTTATATATCTTATAAGTCAATGTCATCTATATTATGTTGTTTATAAGTTTTCAAAGCTACTAATTCTGATTTCATAATATATTAAAATCAATCGCATCATTTTTTCTTACTATACAGAGTAGAGTAAACATTTTATATTTTCATCGATATCAAAGCAATTGTTTTATTGGTTACTTAACGTAAAATTAAATTCAAAGTCTGACCGCTGGAAATTAATATATAAGTGTCGGGTAGGGTGGAGTTTTTCTTTATAATAGTATCCGAAACAAAGGTGAAGATGAAGATGCATTTTGCCAGAAAAAAAACTTATGATCTATTTGACACCATCATGTTGAAAAAAGTGAAGACGGATTTTTGAGGATAAGTTACTTGTCGTAAATCACATTAATTATTCTATCTTATGATTTTCTGGCTCGAGACTACAATACAGAATGCAAATTGATGGAGAAGACATGTACCTACTCGGGGACGGCAGATGTAAAAAAATCTACAGAGGTCAACGGCTCTAATATATATGAATATGTGTATGCGTTAGTATGTGTATATATATTATGCCAATGCGCGTGCCTGCATGTAGTGTGTATATGTGCAAGAGCACTATTTCGGCTTTGTTTGGCCAGTACGTATTTTGTAACCGAGCTGTCAAAGCACGTCAGATCGAATGACGGTTTCCACTAGAGGAACGCAGGTTCGAATCCTGCTGGAGACTACATACTTTTAGAATAAGATTTCTCGAATATATAGGGCGGTTGATGAAAATAAATATATATACTGTTTGATAGATAAACAGAACATCTAATCAAATAAGGGCATCCATTAATAAAAACGTTTAAACAATAAAACATACAGACCCACACACACACACACACACACACACACATATATATATATATATATATATATATATATATATATGTTTGTATGTATGTTTATATAAAAGTAACCATTGAAGTCAACACTCAGAGGTGATAGACTGTTTCATGCTAAACACGATCATCAGGACACCAGGTTCTCTAAAGTTTACGTTTAGCATGAAACAGTCTGTCGCCTCTGAGTCTTGATTCAATCTTCACTTTTAGATTTACATACGTTATATATCTGATATTGAGCACTTTATTCCATAAATATAGGAGACTACATGTATATATATATATATATATATATATATATATATATATATATATATATATATATATATAGACTATATATATATATATACATATATATATATATAGACATATATACATATATATATATATATACATAGTAGACTATATATATATACATATATATATATATACATAGTAGACTATATATATATATATACATATATATATATATATATAGTAGACTATATATATATATACATAGTAGACTATATATATATATATATATATATATATATATATATATATGTATATATATATATGAAGAAATATAGTTTTTAAGATGTGCTATGTTTATGGGATAAAGTGCTCAATATCAGAGATAGAGCAATGTGAAAATAAAATAAAGTGAACATTGTAGTCAACACTCACAGGCGACAGGCTGTTTCATGCCTGATGCAAACGTCTGCAGCCTGACGACTGCGTCTAGCATGGAACACCCTGTCGCCTATGAGTGTTGACTTCAATGTTCACTTATATATATATATATATATATATATATATATATATATATATATATATATATATAAAAGTATATAGAAAATCTAAATGAAATAATAATAAAAAAACGAAAGAATAAAAGAATATTAATCTACAACCCAGTGTGTCTGAAGATTCTAATTTTTTAATATATTTTTTTATTGTTCAAAAAAAAAAAAAAAAAAAATATATATATATATATATATATATATATATATATATATATATATATATGTGTGTCGCCTCTGAAGTTTGACTAAAATTGTCGCTTTTATATATATAGATAGATAGAAAGAAAGAAAGAAAGAAAGAAAGAAATTTTTCATTATATTCGAAAACTGTAGAAACATAATTTTACTTAGAGATTCTTATAGTTATTTTTCAGTACTGAATATGAGTAGAAACTGATTTTTATTTCTGCCCATACTTTGATTACTCAAGATTTACTGTGGAAAGCAAATTATATTTACGAATAAAATCACTTAAATAAACAAGGAAAAATATATATACGTACATGTGTGTATCTCTGTGTGTGTCTCTGTGTGTGTCTGTGTGTGAAGTGGAAAGTGTACAAGAGAAAGAAAGCAAAGAAAGATTCAACTTGCCTCAGGTCGACTGCTTCAGGAAAAACAGTATCTGAAGAGATAATTGACTTAAGCAAACATTTAAAAGACATCCGAATGAGACTGAGTCTGATCAGTACACACAACAGTTAATAATTAATCAGCTTTGTCGGCAATTAGTCAAATCTATTATGTCCGACACACCTTGCCGACGAATCATTAGATTCGACTTCGTTAAGAATTACAAACTTTTGGAGATGTTAGGTTAATTATATTTACTTTCAAACTAAAAACAATCATTCCGAAATATAAATAAATAAAGCTACATGAATACAAAAAACCATACTCATATATATATATATATATATATATATATATATATATATATATATATATATATATATATTAAAATGTGTGCTTGTACGAGCCTGTATTAAAATATATGAACATGATCTGAATTTACAAGACAACTGTGTTCTGCGTCTTTTAACTTTTTTGTTCATTTTATACAATGTCTTAGTTACCTATATTGACTTGTTCCAGAGATGTTTGCTTTAATTTATATAAACTTACAGGCATATATATATATATATATATATATATATATATATATATATATATATATATATATATTTATATATAGTTTTTTAAGGGGTGCTATATTTATGGGCTCAATATTAGAGATAGAAATATGAAAATATGTAAATATGAAAATGAACGTTGAAACAGTTGCCGCCTCAGCATTGAGTTCTTTGAGGCGACAGGCTTTTTTTTCTTGCTAGACACATGGCTATCGTCTAAATCTTCGGGTTTCTGACGATTGCCTAACCATTGAGAATGAAAAAACAGTCCGTTGTCGCCTCTGCGATAGATTCTCTAAGATAGATAGATGGTATGGACCGTTATAGATAGATAAAGATTAATTTGATAAAAATTCTTCTTTTTCTTTGAACAGACTTCGATGGCCTAGATAGGTTAGAATCTCCGACTGATACTAAATCGGTCAGACCGGGTTTCTAGATAGATAGATAAAGAAGAAGAGACGGATGCCTAATAGATACATTGAGGAGAACTGTGATACCAGATAGATGAAGATAGATAGTCCGTCTGTGATATGACCAGACCGTCTCTAGATAGAATAGATAGATAGATAGATAGATAGATAGATAGATTCATGGAGTTTGGTTATGCGTATTCGTACTTTTATAAAGCGGTAGTAAAACAGTTCCGGGTAGATGAATATGAACAGAATATAGATAGATAGATAGATTAGATAAAATCTACCAAGATTTAAAATTTTTTAACTGCTTGCCCACACGCGTACCAACGCACGCATATATGCGAACACACGCGTATGTGTATATACATACGGACACAGACACACACACACACACACACACACATACATACATATATATATAATAGATTTTTATTAATATCACAGATTTGTATCAATTTAAACGTTATTTTAGTGGATTTTCTTATTTGAGTAAGCATTACTATTTATTAAACAGTATATTTATTTATTTTCATCTACCGTCCTGAATATTCGACAAAACTGATTAAAGAAAAAATTTGAGCCCTTCGTCTGGGATCGATCCTGCTACGACGGGTGCAAATTCTTCTTTAATAAGATTTATAATATTATCAGGCTGGTAGGTGAAAATAAATAATATAAATTAATATATAAACGTTGCGTTTACACAAATCCTAGTATCTCAGGTACCTCAGTAAACAACAGAGTAGGAGGCAACTGGAAAATACCCCACTATCAATACCTGAAAAAATATTATGACTCTTAATAATCAAATCATGAAAGTTAACGGCGTTAAGGGAGTTAAGACAATTGGAATTAATTCCTCGCAAGGCAAGGAGGGACATATGTAACAGTTTTAAGCACACCTTCATCCAGCGACTCTTAGTAGAAACGGCATAAAGAGGATGAAACACCTTGGAACTTTATTGGTAATGTGCGATAAGTTTCACCGTACCTCCACCCAGTGATTTTCACATCAAACAAACAAACAAACAAAAAACTCCCGGGGCATAGAATGTAAAACACTAAACCAATGTGTCCATTTAGGAAATATAAAATAGAATAAACGTTAATATTGTAGGCGTATGTGAAACAAGGTGGGCAATCAATGGAGATTTTGCCATTGACAAATACAGGATTATATATGCAGAGGAAGCGAAAATGAAAGAGAAGTAGGACCGATACTAGATGAATTGTTTTATTAAATAATGTCAAATCTCTGAAATAATTATTGGCGGTAAACTGAAAGAAATCTTTTCAATATATCCAACATAATTGTTTATACACCGACAGGAGAAAGTATATGAAAAGAAATTTTACTCTACTCTCGCTGTAAGTTGCATGAAAATGCAATCGTCATGGAATACCTGAATGCCAAATTAGGCAAGGATGAAGAATGCGAAATATTTGGCAAATTCGGATTCAGTCAGTTATGTTTCATTCGTTATACACGTTTAGGCGATCACGTATCTTTCGATACATGATTGACGAGGTAGATTTCTTTCCCACAGTAGCTTGCCATTTCTTTCTGCGGTAGACAAGTTGCCATCCAAGGCTACAGAACCTAGTCTGTCCGGTTATTTAGCCATAGATAAGGTGAAAAGAGGAGGATTCTTATCTTTCCCAAGGGATTTGCACGTAAGTAAATGTAATGGATTCAACTCGAATTCGAACTCGGCTGGTTTTAAGAACACCCAAGATGTACATCTTCCCATGATCTGTAAACCTAGAGTGAATCTACGGAAATTGAAGAGGCCAAGGGTGCACCCAAATTAAAATAAGACAGATTCTGATATTTTTTAAAGCATTTCACCCCAAGCAAAGCATGTGTGTCATTAGGACGCAAGGGTTTACAGAGAGTGAGAACAAGAATAAAGAGGAGTGTTTGAGGAAACGATATAGAGAAGGCTGTTCAGGATGAAGGCATCAGAAGATGTCGATTGACATTTTGTTTCGATATTTGAAGATGATAGCTGGGATAAGCAATTAGGTTGAAGGGGGTTCCACTGTCTGGAAGTGTAACAGAAATAGTTTTGGAGCAGATGAGGTGGTTACATTTAACTGTTTCGATAGTGAAAGTTTGGGACCGAGATATCAATCTAGTAGCACGCTGAAATTCATGCAGTTGGGGGTACCAGTGAAAGTAGCTCGTCAGAGCAATTGCCTTGAAAATATTTGTAGAAAAGACAGAGAGAAGCCAGATCACGTCTGCGAGAAAAAAGACTGGAGTCGAGGTGCCACATCAGGACCAATCCCGTTGCATATCTGTCTCTGTATTTTGTCTCGGATCTCGGGATGAAAAGCGGGTCACCAAACCATATGTGCCAACAGTATTCAATGCAAGAACGAATGGTTTATTTGTAGATTTGAAGGATGGATAAAAACATAAGAAAATTAAGAAGACAAATGACATGCTCATCAGCAATTTGGATAACATCCAGAGATTGGACACATATATTAGAGAAAGATTAAATGCGTCAGAAGTGGAACAAATCCGTTGGATATTTTTTCTACTACGAAAGAGAAAAAAAACGGCAATACACAGAAATCTTAAAATATGAAGTTGCATCAGCTATATTCAAATTGAAGAGAAACAAAGCAGCAGCAGGAGACGGAATCAGAGATATTAACAGTTTAGACGATTTCGCCATTGACAAAGAATACAGATATAATAACAGAAATATACAACATTGTCGACTTACTGGAAAACCTAAGTAGTTCCATATAGATAGCCCCGTCTAAGAAGCCAAGTGCAAACAAATATGAACGTTGTCGGACAATTAACCTAATGAGCCATAGAACAAAACTTATCATCCGAATCCTGATGAATATCAGAGATAGATCGTATGTAAATACAAATGTGAACATTGAAGTCAGTACTCAGAAGCGACAGGCTGTTTCATGCTAAATGCAATCATCAGGGCCTAATGATGGCGTATGAAACAGTCTGTCGCCTCTGAGTCTTGACTTTAATGTTTACTTTTATTATATATATATATATATATATATATATATATATATATATATATATATATATATATATACGTTCTATCTCTGATATTGAGCACTTTATCCCATAAATATAGCACACCTTAAAACTATATTTCTTTCTATATATATATATATATATATATATATGATAGAAATTATTAGTCAGTTTTGAGAACTATATTTAAGTAATTCATCGAGTCTGAAACCTCAACAGAATGTAGAAAGCACTGGACGGCCGTTTAGTCCTATATTTGGGACTCATCAGCAGTGCACATCCACTACCGAGAATTGAAACCCGGACAGTTACGTTGGTACAGTTGGTATGGGGATAGTAGTCGTAGCTCGGGGAGGCGCATGGGTAAAAGAGAAAAAAAATAAAATATAAAATATAAAAAATTAAAAAAATAGATATATATGAAGAAATATAGTTGAAGGTATGCTATATTTATCGGATAAAGTGGTGATCAGATATAATAACAGAAAGATACAACATTGTCGACTTACTGGAAAACCTAAATAGTTCCATATTGATAGCCCCAAGTAAGAAGCCAAGTGCAAATATGAACGTTGTCGGACAATTAACCTAATGAGCCATAGAACAAAACTTATCATCCGAATCCTGATGAATAAAACGCGTAGCAGAATCAGACCGGAAATAGGACAAAACAGTGTGGGTATGTTAAAGACACTGAAACAAGGAAATCTCTATTTAGCTCAGAATATAAGAAAGCACAATACACATGCAAAAATTATGTATACATATTTTTTTATATGTGATGCAAAAGCGTCATGAAGAACTGCTGCAACTGTTAGGTAACCTTGACGTATGTGGGATGGATATTAGAATAATCCGTAACCTATGCTGGCAGCAAACCTTCAGCATAAGGATGGAAAATGAGTTCAGTGTAAGACAAGGATGCTACTTCTTACCAGATCTTTTTAAATCTATACACCGAGGCCATATTGATAGAATTAAAAGTCCTACCAAAAATCATTATTGGCGGTTACAATATTAACAACATCAGATATGCATATCTGTCTATATCTCTGAGATAAGGTATGATGTACACTATTTACATTATTCGGACTATTGTCCCCATCTTTGACTATCGCAACATTTCGGCCATTATACGCTCCGGCCTTCTTCAGGTGTTTGGAATGTCGAACTGAACCCTTTATTTCGCTGATTGGGGTAGACTGTTCTTGTACCATGTGCCATGTCTAATGGATGTCAGTTAATCCTGTTAATTCTTCTCTCAAAGTTCTTAACCAGGTAACTCACATTCCGTGGGTCCTGTCACTGGTTTTAACTAACGGCTTTATCCACAGTGCCATGTGTCCTTGAGGACATCTATGTATGAATTTCTGGGTATTATAAACCTAATGTCTTCAACAACCGTTGTTTACCAGTGCTCATATTGCAATTTTTATGGTTATCATTGCATTTTTTTTACCAGAGCTCATACTGCAATTTTTGTTATTATCGCTTTTCTTCTGGCACTCCTTATTACTGGTTCCCATATCTATTCATTTCTATGTTTGGTCGGCTCAGGAGATTTTTTTGACCTATCATATGTGCAGTTTACACAGTATTGATAGCAGGCACAGAAAAGAAAGTACAAGAATTCCTGCAGAAGATACTGTAGGAAAGCAAGAAGAAAGTACTAAGCATCGTTTGCAAGAAGACTGAATGCATGCTTCTTAACGAAAGCGACAGCCCAATATGCAAATTACAGTTTAGAAATAACGAATTCAAACAGGTGCAACAATTTACCTGGGAAGTTTATTAGCAGAGGACGGAAAGGGCGACACGGAAATCTGAAGACGCATTTGGATACCGAAAGATGCCTTCCAAAAGCTTAGCAAAGAATTAATAAACAGAAAAATATCGCTGGAAACAAAGAAAAGAGTACTGAAATGTTGTATCATTCCTCCTTTATGGCATTGAATGCTGCACAATTTCCGCAACGGGTTTAAAAGGGACAGAAATGTGGTTCTACAGATAGATGCTGAAAATATCATAGACCGAGCAGCAGCAGCAGCAAAAGAAGAAGAATATACAGGGAAGAGAAGTTAAAAATATATCACGCGGATGTATGATTCACATTACTAAGTCGGATATGCCTGTAAACAGTGACAATAGCAAATACTTACTACTAGTGACGTGTTAGCTCTATGGCTATTTTGACACTTATATTTTAATAGGAAATCTTCGCTGACTGTTCAAATATAGTTCAACATCTGGTGTCAACAAAAATTTAAATGCCTTCGCTTACAAGTTCATACCATTGTTTTCAAGAAAATATGCTTAATTTAAAGAATTTGTTTTCCGTTGCAGCCTGTATATAAATCACTTGAACGTTGAAATTTTAGTCTTCAATAAGACAAAACAGCAGCACATAGAAATAATGGCAGCTTTTAACATACCAGCGTCATCCTAAAGATGTTTGTTTTGCTTTACAACTTATCAACCACTAGTGGATCATTTAAAGTCGAGTATTAAAGATGGAGAACGAATATAAGAAAACATACAAGAACAATTTGACACGAACTTATTTGAAGTTCATTCATATACAGCATATACCTATGTCTATAGACATGGAAACAGACGACGAATTTGGCAGGTCGAAAGAAAGTTCTCACTTACACACCACCAGAAATCCTTCAATTTCGGTCGGACGAAAAAAGAATATTCTGCAACTACGTTCACTTTTCTCTTGCTTGGTGATTTATCAGGAAAGAGTCCAGGAAAATATCTTACTGCGTTGACATCTGACATTGCCAGATCATCAGTTGCCACAAGGAAAACCCTGCAAGCCAAGACTCATTCAACCACCTAAAGATATTACTAAGCACGAACGCACACCAGCATTCGTACAAGCTCACTTGTCCGAAAGTGTTCCGTCAGTCAAAGTTCTGAGACTATAGATGTTTCGACCTTAGAAGGGTCATATGTCCTTGAGGAGTGGATGAAAAAATGAAGGAAGAAGATAGACGTAGGAGAGAGAGAGAGAGAGAGAGAGAGAGAGAGAGAGAGAGGGAAGAATTAGATTAAGCTGATGAGAAAAGATACTACGTTTTCACTTAGGTCATTACCGAATATAACACGGGCAATTTAAAATGGGTTTACAGCAATACCGTGGAAAAATTGCCAAAATCCATTTCGGCATTTCCCCTTTTCGGGGAGCCTTCTGCAATAAACACAGATGCCTCTCGGAGGAGAGGTTCTGCTTAGGGTTAATATTATTTGAGCTAAAAGAACGAGAAGCGATCTCGATAAAAAAATCGAAATGCTTCAGATGCATGGTATCAAACGATGGAAACCGAGTATGGTAAAAGCTAGTTCCTATAAATAAAATAAAATCGTCTGCCGAATTATTTTTAAATTAATATTAAGTGGAATATTCGTAAGAGGAAGATTTAGCTAGAAAGAATGGAGGGAAGATAGAAGTGTTTAACATCTGCTGCCAATACCTCATAAATGATGGACTATTCCGTTTTGACGGCGTAGAAGAATAAGACATACGAATTAAAGAAAGAAAGGGGGATAAAAGTGTTTACCGTCTGTTTCAGTCAAATGGAAAATATTGTCAATTTCAAATCATAACATTTGTCGCCATTTCTTAAAATAACGACAAACTTTCATGTTTATGATTGTTATTGCAATATGGTGCTAAAGATGTAAAGCTCAAATATTATAACGATGAGATGGGGGATATACCTACACATGCTTTCTTGTCATAGAATTCGCCAAAAGCTTATTCAATCATTATCTAAAAAATTAAGATTCATCAGAATATTTAGATAGGAAATCCGTGAAATTTTCACGGCCGTTCTAGTTGTTATTAAGCCACGTACTTCCATGCATGTGTTACATATATATATATATATGTATATATGTATATATATATATATATATATATATATATATATATATATATGTATATATATATATATATATATATATATATATATATATATATATATATATATATATATATATATATGCATATATATATATATATATATATATATATATATATATATATATATATATATATACATACATATATATATATATATATATATATATGTATATATATATATATATATATAGAGAGAGAGAAAAGTTTCAAATTGAAAATTATAATGTTTTATTTTATGAAAGTATTTATTTATTTATATATATATTTGATATTTCAAATTGTCCTCAATTTTTCATCAGAAATAACTGTTTTATTACAAATAAATTAAAATTACTGTTTGTTAGCAAGTAGCGTCCTTCGCGAGACGCAGACGTCACGTGATATGGAACGTCACTGTTCGGATATTCCCAACTTAAATCTAACTGTCAAAATCTTTAAATTTTTTTTTTTTTTATATATGTAAATATTTAAATTTTTTTTTTTATATATATATATATATATGTATATATATATATATATATATATATATATATATATATATATATGTATATATATGTATATATATGTATATATATATATATATATATATATATATATATATATATATATATATATATATATATATATATATATATATATATATATATATATATATATATATATATATATATATATATATATATATATATATATATATATATATATATATATATATATATATATATATATATATATATATATATATATATATATATATATATATATATATATATGTCAGCCAGGGCTCGTCCCTGTGCTGGTGGTATCACGTCTATGACTAGCTCTGACCAGCTTGGATAAGCAACAACCAGCTAAGACCAGCGGCCCGAGTGAAAACTCTCGGGTCCCCACGTTAAAAACTGAGTTTGTGTCACAACCTAAGTGGGGTGGGGGGTCAATTAAATATCCATATATATATGCCAGTGAAGCTTAATGGTGATGGTAACAATGACTGGCGCTACAGAATCACAAACAAAGATTTGTAATAAATAAGAGAAAAGATATCAGTTGAGAAATTTCAACACGCAGAAACAGGTTCAATTGATTTGTAATTGGAAAAGAAAACAATGACAAATTTAAGATGTTGATATTACTTCAAATAAAAGACGTAAACATCCATCAATAGTAGAAAGAGCGATAACAGCTACTCGACTTGAGAAATCTTTTTTTTCCTGGAAAAATTGTTTGGATGAAAGATTTTATACATTTCAACCGACAATAGCACTGGCTTCTCGGACAATATAAGGAAACGGCTAATATAACAATTACCATTAGTATTAAACAAAATTGTACTCTTCTTTGTCGTATTTAATTATATTATTTCATTTTTTCCTGGCATATTGCTTATTTGATAAGACTGGCTTATTATTTTTCAAAATAATTCTCGGCACTATTAACCGAAGTGGCACTTAAACTAACAACTAGAAAAGTTTTGTTCGATACGCTAAAGTGGAAATGTTCCTACCGTCATCTTTATTTAAGACGTTGTTTGTAATTGGTACAAAAGAGGAACTCGGTCATCCTCACTCACACATCGAATGTGTCTCCCCGACACCCAGTAAGATTTTTGCTTTCGTCTCTTTTCATACTGCATGAATCGTTTTGTTTTCCTTTGCTCTTACGCCCTCATTGAATTTTACTTCCTCTTAATCTCCATGTTCTTCTCTAACCCTCATGACTCTTTTTTGTTCATTTCTCTCTCTCTCTCTCTCTCTCTCTCTCGACCTCTTATTCTCTCATGTATCCTTTTCTTTCTTTCTTTTTTCTTGTACTTTAGCTCTTCTTTCTCCTATCGTTCTCATTTCATTCTGACTCTCCTGCTAGATTTATGTTTTTTTTTTATTTCTCTCCTCCACCCTTTCTCTATCAATCTCCCATTTTCTCGTTCTTTCTGACTTTACCCTCTCTTTCAGTTCCCACTTCTCTTTCTCTTTTCTCTTTGTCCAAACACTACCTCTCCTTTCTAAAACATTTATCTCTCCACTCAATTTCTCCGTCCTAATTATTATTATTATTATTATTATTATTATTATTATTATTATTATTATTATTATTCTCATCTCATTCTCTCGTGATTTCTCCTTCTCTCTCTATGTGCTTCTTTTTTTTTTCATTACCCAACACAGACATATGAAGATATAACTATCTACTCTTTTTCTGTTCATCTTTCTTTCTTTCTTTCTTTTATTCTTTCTTTCTTTCTTCAATCTCGTTTCCTTTTCTTTCTTTTTCTATTTTAGCTCTTACTTTTTATTCCACCCAAACCCTCTTGCCAGCTTTCCGTTTTTCTTTTCTCCCACGCTCACTTTTCATCTATCTCTCCTTCACTCTCTTCCTTTCTCTCGGTCAACCTCTTTTCTCTCCTCTTTCAGTTACTATCTTTTTTCTTTTCTCTCACGATTTTTCGTTTACACTCTCTCTGTCTTTCTCCCCTCTTTCAGTTACTCTCTCTTTTCTTTTCTCTCACGATTTTTCATTCTCTCTCTCTGTCTTTCTCTCCTCTTTCAGTTACTACCTCTTTTCTTTTCCTTCACGATTTTTCATTCTCTCTCTCTTTGTCTTTCTTTCTTTTTTTATTTCTACCCGACATGCACACAAACACGCGTGCGTGTGTGTATGTGGGTGTATTTACGTGGGACAAGGAACACATGCACGTTCTTGTATCTGTATGCATGAATGATTTTCTCGTAGCCAAATACATTACCTGCTCACTGTTGAAGATGCGATTTTCATGATCGACATTTTTCTAACCTTTTTTCCCCCACAGATCTTTCTAAGTATTTTTTCTTTTCTGTCTCACCAGGATTTTCATCATCAATATTATTATTATTATTATTATTATTATTATTATTATTATTATTATTTTCCGATCACTGCATCTCCAAATGTTGAATGTTTTCTGACGCGTCCTAACCTCGACAACAGTTAGTGTGTCGCCAAACCAAGTACTTGGACCTCGCATAGCCGCCTTCGGATCGTTCGCCTTCTCTCGGTCAGTCAATCCACATCGTCATCCGTCTCCCCAGTTCTTCCTTTACGCGATTCAGAACGCATGGATTGATTATTGAACTCCAGTGCCAAGTCTGAATGAGGGGTTTTGAATCGTTATATAGCTGAAGGTGAGATCACTGGACGGGTGCATGTAAGGTTTATCATTCTAAATATAATACAAAATAAAAACTATTGAATATGTCTTGTTTGAAAGAAGTAAAACTATTACACACTCGTTGATAATTAATCAAAGAGATATTTTGCTACAGGACCTGAAATAACTTATCTTATCATTTCAAATGGGAATAACTCATGAACATTATATATTTGATCATATATTCGGAAATGCTTCTTTATTTACAAGAGTCGGTGCAAAACAAAAATATCTTCTTATTGCGATATATTACTCAAATCCTTACTTACCAAAATTGTTAAATTTCAATAGCCTTTAATCCGCCTTGTGGGTGATGAATTATTTACCACCATACAAGTAATTTCCTACAGAGAAATCGCTGCTAGCCTAATCTATTGCTGTTTTCATGGCAAATGTTTAGACAAGCTACATTCTAAATTTGTCGAAGCTTTTTAAACCATTGCCTAAAAGAGAAATGTTTTCCCATCCAAGGAGAGGTGTTAGTTGTATGCCTTGTTTACAAGAATGGAGAGAGAGAGAGAGAGGAGAGTGAGAGAGAGAGAGCACCCGTCGCCAGCAAAATATTGGCCCATCTGTCTCCTTAGATTAATTTGCAAATATTCCAGGCTATTGTCAACATGTTGATCACTTTAACAGAAACAAAATCCTGAGGGACGAATAATATGGTTTTCGGTTCTTTAATTCTACCGTCGATGTCTTTTTTCTCCCCGTTCATACTTCTCACTGGCATTTTGAACAGGAGTAGAGGTTTATCCTTTGTACCCTATTTGGGTTTGGGTTCCGGTTGCTCTTTTCATTCTCTTTCCCTCTCAGCAGTCCCTTGCGTCTTAGTGGCATTATTGCCTTGCTTGTGGAGAAATGATTAACAAAAATACCGTAATTCCCTATGTATAATTTTTCTAAAAAAAAATAAACAAAAGTAGTGGTGCGTATTATGTACAGCTACAAAAAACTCTTTAAAAAATTACCGTTTCTTAGGTCGATTTCAGTCGCAAAATAAGTTCTTACTACAAACTTAAGAAAATTTGACACTAACATTCGGCGATTGCGACCCCATAAGGATGACCAATACAATCATATGTACCTAAACATACTTACAAATTTAAAACAAAATAAGAATTATTATAAAACTAAATTCGAATATTATTATTCTATGTTTAAAAACATTTTTTTCAATAAGATTAGGAAACGCTGGCAGTAATGAAATTGGTGAGGTACAATTTATAGAGTTTGATTACCAATCAAGGGGTGTGTATTATACGTGAGTATAAGCATATTCCCACATTTTCAGAACAGTTTAAGGGGGTGCGTATTATGGATGAAGGCGTATTATTGATAGGGGAATTACGGTAGTTATGAACATTGATCGATAGATAAATAAATAGACGTTAACATAAAAGAGAAAGAGAGTCGGTCTGAGAAGAGAAACTTGAGGTATGCCTCTATTGATCTCTTGGACTTTAGTATACTGGATATTAACAATTTTCAAGAAACTACCTGTTAGGAAGAACTTGATAATTAAGAAAATTTTTCTAACGATACAATAAATGGCAAATCTGTGCTGCCACTCTCTATTACAAAAATTATCGATGTCCTTATGTGCCACATTTTTGAGATTTCCATTTCAAGAGCCTTATATTTTGATAATTTTTTGAAGATCTTTAAAGATACATTACAATTTAAAGTGGCTGCCATGTAAATAAGATAGAGCATTCTCTTCTTGTGGTATTTGATTATAATATCCCGGTCATCAGCTTTGATTGTTCTGTGTGTGTATTGTAAAATCCTATAAAATTATACATACCCTATCTCTGTAAGCGTGCCTGCCTGATGTTCACACCAGTTTCTTGCTGTTTCTTTTCTCTAAAAGCTTCATATTTTTATTCACCACAAAATCTGTATTTCGGGTTAATCTCCCTTTTGGTTTCAATATATGTGCTTGGTAATTTCTCGTTAGCAAGCATCGTCCCTGAGCGGATTTTCCCATCGCAGCACCAACAAACAGTTACTGTGAAGCCAAACCAAATACGAGTAAGCAACGAGGATGACGACATAATATTAATATTCGATTACAAATCCACCGAATAGTTGTTTTTCATTCTTTAAGAGACAAGCGATCCTCTAAGCGATCCTCCTTTTTTCTATCCTCCTTTTTTCCAAATTTTAATGGAGATTAATGTAGTGCACATCTGGACAGAGAGAAATTGGGAACACATGCATCAAAGTTCTTTTTTTTTTTGTTGATCTTGTCCTTTCCTCCGTCTAGATCATTATCAGGAATTATGTTTTGCTAGATTCATACAGAGAGAGCGTTACCATTTTGATCAACGATTTGTAAGAGAATTGAAAAATTAAATTACATTGAAAATGACAAGAAAACAAACATTGTTCACTGAAATCTTTATTCACACACACACACACACACATATATATATGAGGGTAACATTTAAAAAGAGCTGACACAATTAGAAATTTTAATAGATTAGCCAACCATGTGTGAAAATTAAATAGAAAAAAATCCGATTGTAAACTAAAAAATTATTTTGTAAAAAATGGAAAACCTTACAATAATCATAGCAACATATGCAACGCTTTTCAACAAGAAAAATTAGCTATACTAAAATTTCCAAACTAAAAAACTTTTGAATTAGAAATCTGAAATTTTGACCTGTTCTATACATGAAGTGGGTGAAAAGAAAGTATGTATATTTTATTTAATCCGTCACCGATAATTTAAAATAAAATTATTTTAAAAAATAAACCGTGAGGAAATCAAATGAAGATACCGATTTTTTTTAAATCAAGGTAGCGGAATATGGTGATATATATATATATATATATATATATATATATATATATATATATATATATATATATATATATATATATATATTGGGATTGATGTGAGTTTGTGACCTCAGATTTCAAGGTAGCGGAATATGGTAAAATATATATATATATATATATATATATATATATATATATATATATACGTTTGGATTGATGTGAGTTTTTGACCACGGATTTCACGCTTTTGCGATCGTCAGACATCGTTTCTCTGACGATCGCAAAATATAAACCCAGGGTCACAAACGCACATCAATCAAACAAATATATTAGCTCTATCTCTGATATTGAGCGCTTTCTAATAAGTACCCCCATATAATATATAAATAATAATATATATAATATATTACATATATATATATATATATATATATATATATATATATATATATATATTTTTATACACACACACACACACACACACACATATATATATATATATATATATATATATATATATATATATATATATCAATTAACAGTAAATCCTCATTTAATTTTAAGAAGGGTTCGAAATCAAAAAAATTCATGTAGTTTTTTTTCTGAAATGACTTCAAGGCAAATCCTCATCCAGTCCTTCGGAATGGGTTGAAAATAAAAGAGTTATATATATTTGGATCTGTTCCTGTGTTTTCCGTATAGACAATCTGTGTTTAAAATAGAATCTAGAACCTAGTCACCTAAGAAAATAGTAAAATAATTAATTATTTAAGTAGACACAAAAATACATACATTTCTTTCTTACGTTTTTCACCTGATTAAGACTGGAAAGACGAAATGCAGTTTAAAGTGTTTAAACTTTATTATTATTATGATTATTATATATATATATATAATATTAGTGGTAAATATACATACATATACAAAATATATAAATACCCATACATGTATATTTTTTTAATAAAATTCAAGAGGAATATATATATATATATATATATATATATATATATATATATATATATATATATATGTGTGTGTGTGTGTGTGTGTGTGTGTGTGTGTGTGTGTGTGTGTGTGTGTGTAAATATTCTCATATTGAGTGTACCTGTAGATGAAACAAAATAAGTAAAAGGGACCAGATGAATAACTATACTTAGCCGAGGTATTTCGTCCTCTGAGGGACTTTATCAAGGCAATGTTGGATTTATTATGCTGCCTGTGTTTACAGACTCAAAGCTGAGGATGTCATTGGTTTATCATGGCTTGTAAATTAGAGAAAGTTCTTGAATGTTCACCAGGTTGTTGAAAACTCAGTCAAAGCAAGTGTAGGGTACGGAGTGTGCTAATTTAAAGTTTGGCGAAACTTAAATTGAGCTAGTAATATTAAATTCCTTTTTTCTTAAACTGAATACTGTTTGGATTATGATTAGATTATGGTACAAAATGGACGTTTGTACTGTAGACCTTGAAAGGCTGAAATGATAGATTTAACCCTTTTCTTATGATTTACCAACATATTACTTTTTGTGGATATTGAGTTTGAAAGTAGTAAGCCTTGATAAACTAATGGTATCCTCGCCTCTGGAATTGTATACTCTATGGATTAACAGTATTTTAATGCATACATTATACACTACTAGCGATGGATGTCGCCAATAATACCATTAATATTACTGATTGATTCTATATGTGATTATTTGTTTGTATATAAATTATATGCTGCCTAATGTTTTATGTTTATAAAAAACTATCGATCCGCAGTACAAAAAAATTCATATAAAAAAAACTACTACTAAGACATGACACTATATTAATTGAACTATATACTTAGTTCATGACATATTAACTGAAAACACTTGTAAAAATAGAATACGTGGATTTATCACATCACAAGAAAAATTCAAATAAAATTCTCACTTAAAATTTTGAAAAACTTAGCGTTGCGTCTTTGCACGTTCCGATATTGTACACAACCGTCAATAATAGCACATACTAAAAAAAAACATCTTTCGGTCGACAAACAATTACTTCGTCTTCAAGTTTTTGATTTTATAAGGAAAAGATATGCCTGACGATGAATAAATGATTATTCGAAAGTACTTGCATTTTAAAAAAATATAAACTGGAAA